AGGGAGGGAGGAAGGGAGGGAGGGAAGAAGGAAAGAAAGTTAAGAAAGAAGACAGAAAAAGGGAAGAAAGGAACCGTTGCTATTCCCCAAGTAACCTACACCACCGGGCCAAAATAAAACCAAAACACTTGTTAGTACGACCACCCCAATTTTACAATTCAACCCCCAAGGCTCAGGCCTCACACAAGCTGTGGGTCGAGGTTCTCCTGAGTCATCCAGGTTTTGCAGAAATTACATCCTTAAGAAGGCACAGCACCCACCTTGGGTCCCCACAGTGGGAGGGGGTTGGTCCTCTCTGCCTCACTCCTGTCCCTTCCGCTCCTGTCCACTCCTGTCCACTCCCCTCCCCTCCGTCCTTTCTGCTGTGTCTGTGCCCTCCTCTCAGTCAGCCTGTGACCCTCCTGCGAGGCAGGAGGTTGACTCGGCCGGCAGGTATCCAAACACGACGGCTGCACAACCCTCCATCAATGCAAAGCAAAACCAACACTCCCGGGCTAACGGAAACAACCCAGAACATTTGTTCATCTCTGAAGACTCTAAAACAAAATCAATTCCAACAAGAGGGCTGGGAAGGGTAAGCCAATCAGTCTTTCCTGTATTCTGCGGACTGAGAGCTCTTTGCAGGGATGGAGATGCAGTTGCCATCCTGTCCTGACCTTCCCCTCCAAGCATTTGGGGACCGTCCAGGAGGGGACAGGGTTTCCTCAGGGGCTCTGCACTGGTCCCCACTCAGAACTAGCCAGGCTTTTTACAACTTTCTTAAACAACACGTTAACAGAAGAATGCAAGGTCTCTGAATTCTCTCTGAATTCTAACTTGCTTTCCACCAGCCTTCATCCCAGGACCACCCCTTTCCTGACACACAAATCAGGAATATTTTTAAACAGCCCGTCCACTGCTTCAGGAACTCAAACAAATACCACCCTCTTCTTTTGCATGATTACCCCCATCCCAGAAAGCAGGCACAGCTTCTGAGAAACATCCAGTAGCCCAGAAAAATGATGCTTTTTTTTTTTTCAGAGTCTGAAGCTGTCATCCTAGGTAGAGTGCCATGGCGTCACAGCTCACAGCAACCTCAAACTCCTGGACGTAAGTGATTCTCCCACCTCAGCCTCCCCGGTAGCTGGGACTACAGGTGCCTGCACCAACACCTGGATATTTTGTTGTTATTGTTGCAGTTGTCATTGTTGTTTTAGCTGATTTGGGTCAAGTTTGAACCTGCCAGCCTCAGTCTATGTGGTCAGCACCCTCCCCACTGAGCTACAGGCATCGCCAGAAAAATGCTTTTCCAAGTGCGTCTTCCTAAGGAATCACGGCAGCTGTTAATGTGCGAAGCTTAACAATCAATACCGATTTATCCATTTTCTGATGTCTTCCACATCTACAGTGCCCCCATTACACTAGAACACAAACGCAAGAGAACCCCAGTTCTGAGCCCCATATTCATTGCAACACTCTTCACAGGAGC